CTATGGTTTATTCCAGCCGCGCCACGCACGTTTCTGAAGCGGCTCTCTTTGCTGCTTCTGTAAAGATACACGCAAAAAGCCTCCTTTGAATAAATATAGCCAAAATCCGTTGCCATGACTTATCGCGAGAGGCAAAAGGTTACGTTTTAGTCGCATAACATTGGTTAACGGAAACGCTGTCATTTGGCAATACTTTTTGATCGACATTTATAAAATATCGCAGAAGTTTTGCGCAAATCTGTAATGGAAACGCGCCTACTGTCCTGCAGCGTTTAGCTCCAACCCCAATTAAACACACCTGAACCAGCTAATCAAGGTCTCGCTACACTAGGCATGCTAGAAACTTGTAGGCAGGTGTGTTGAGGCAAGTTGGAGCCAAGTTCTGCAGAACAGTGGCCCTCCAAGACCGAGTTTGGAAACCCCTGCTCAGTGGATAATTGATTGTGTAAAGCAGGGGTGTCCAATCCTGCTCCTGGAGGGCCACGGGCCTGAGTTCAGTCCCGACCCCAATATAACACACCTGTATCAGCTAATCGGGGTCTTCATAATTACTAACCAACTTCCAGGCAGGTTTGTTGGAGCTTTTTCTTTTTGATTTGTAAAGGGATCATGAACTGCATTATTATTAGTAGTAGTGTTGTTGTTGTATGTTCCATGAAGTCAAATTATGTTAAGGTTTTTGCATGAAAAGCACTCCTAATTTAGAATATAATACCAGAGGTGACACTTCTCCGGGAAAGTCAGACCTCGCGTTCGCGGGACAGCACTGGCGAAATCTTCCAACTGAACCGTAGCTAAGGTTTATCCAAAAAAGTGGCTAGGTTTGTCAGTATGAATATTCTATGGAAAAAAGCCGCTAAAAGGGTCTGAAAGTTGCTAAATGTAGTGCTAAAGTGGCGCTCGTGTGTGTGTGTGTGAGATGCGGGAGCTGATGACAGGGGGCGGTGGATATTTGTGGCGGCCAATGTGGATACTGTGGAGGAGTTCTACTGTGTCATCACGTTCTACAGCTTCAGTTTGGGAACTTTCACGCTTAGTAACACATACAGCTGTTCCCTCACCACAGTGCAACAGTGAAAAGGGACCTTTTTCAAACAGTGTCGCGTTCCGAACGTTGTTTAAGCGACATAGTATTGCGGTATTGTGAAAATTCATATCATAACAAAAAGAAACACCGGTATTCGGTATGAACGGGTATACCGCCCAGCACTACCTCCAAAGCTCTCTCAAGCACCACCAGCTGGTCGTTTTCAGAAGAGCACCAGGCATTGTCAGCTGGCTAAAAACACTCTGCTGGACACATGTTAATGTTTTAATTTATTGTTAGGCATATAGCCCATTAGTCTCTTATGCATTTGTGCAATATAAGTTTGCAAACCTGAGAATTAAGTTGAAAGTATTCCACACCATTCCTAGATACGTAATTTGTGTAGCTGTAATTCATAGGCGGGGAATATGCTAATTGTGAATGAGCGTGCATGCACGCCCTATTTCCGAATGATTGGAATTCATTAACATACACGCATTTAACTATGAAATGTGACCTTTACGAAGTATTTGTGAATCCGGAGGAGAGTTTTGGGGAAGGTCCGTTTTACGCGTAAATTACTCAGAATGTACTCGTATATTTACGAATGTTTTATGAATGAGGCCCATTATGTTTAAAAAGAAGCTCATTTTCTACTAATGTTTTTGAGTGTTTCTACATCATTGGGAGCCTAGTGAAACTTGGTGAAAAAGGCTTGTAAAACTTTTGGTTTGGTGAAAATATTTGGAAATCATGACTATTGCCATTGTTTTAACAGAGTATCTTTGTGTTGCATCTTCACAGATTCCTGTGCCGAAGGACTTCCCACCCTCCAATACCGCCCCGCAGCTTTTCCCGCATTGCTATGAGCTCACCGTGTGACCACATCGTTGCAGTAGCGTACCGCACGGCACAGTACGGACAGCTGGGCGTCAACACAGTTCCGCCTCCTCTGTACTGAAAGTGATGAGACTCGTCACCGACTCATAACAATGGTGAGTTAAAGGTCCCATATTGTCAAACGTTAACTGAGGTCTAGGGGCTATTTAACTAGCATATAAGTTTCAAAACAGTCAGTCCACAGTAAAATGCACACAGCCTGCATAAAGTAGGTGTGATTTTTCACGATCCATTGTGACTTGCGTAAAAAGGTGACGTCAGAACTACACAGTCACCGCCTTCAGTCACCACCCTGAGCCATGGGCGTAGCTTGTGGGGGGGCCAGGGGGGCCTGGCTCCCCCACAGCGATTTAAGAATTGTACAAAATATTTATTGATATAGTTTTTTCTGTGAAGTAAAACTGCATATAATGCAGTTAATAATACATGTAAAAGTGAATACATTTTAAATTGTTATTGTAAGTAAATTAATAAATCAAGACAAACTTAACGTCTCCCTCAAGCTCATTTGCGTAAGAATTGTCACATGACGAATCTGCATTTTGGTGGATAATAGACATAACGGTAATTCTTGCCTGTTGTGTGGAATAAAATGATGTTCTGCGTTTTTAACAACATACACGAACTGCAGAGAAATCTGGAGACAAGGAAAAACTCCGATGAAGATATTAGTGCCGTGCTTGATTCCAGACCCGGACGATCAGATAAAGGTGATCCACAGGACGCAGCCGGTTTAGCCGCACACTACTTTTATGCCGACCATTTACATCCAAATGTTATTTAATTTTCACAGAACACAACCTTTAAATAGATTTTAGAATATAAACTGTTTATCGTCTATTCAATAAGACTAAACAAAAAGTGTGCGCCTCATTGTGCATCAACTTGAATCAAGGCCAACAAATGTCTGTTTTAAAAACAGTGGATGAGTAATTCACTCCTTGATTTGCTTAATAAAAGCCTCCTTTGAGATCGTTTTGACAGACATGTTTATTGTGCATTTTAAACGTGTATAGTGTGGCAAAATAGAAGCGCAGCTGTAATTCGTGGGCAATGTATGTGGTTACCATGACAACCTCACGCACTTGCCACTGCTCTGTGAATGTGAATATGTAGATTTACTATAGTAAAAGTAAAATGTGTTTGAAAGTACGTCTGACCAAATCCATCGGTTCGGTTTGGCCCCCCCAAACTCAAACGTCAAGCTACGCCTATGCCCTGAGCACCGCCCACCGTCCCACTCTCCTTTTGCCAAACCCCCAGACAACATCGCGTCCATGCTATTGCGGAGTAACGACAACACGGAAACGTGTCGAAAAGGTTAACTTTAACCACGAAACCAGATCGGTCGACCTGTAACGGTACACTCTCACTCAAAGGATGGACGATCTGACAGGATCGTTACTATGAGGTGGATCACATCTAACGTGTATAGTAAAGACAAACTCACCGTGTCTATCTAGTCATGATGAAGATGTATATACATTTCAATTTCAGCAGGCAACTGTTTTTACAGCTACATTATTGTTCCAGCCCCAATTAATCACAACAATGTATATCCAATTCCAAATGCTTATATATAAATCGTCAGTTTGTTGTTTCACACACATGCACACAGACATTATTTGATACACGACATAGTCGTGAGATGCAAGAAACATAGACGTATGGCAAGAAATGTGTAGACGCGCCCATAACAACAAAAGACAATACTTTATTGAACCTTTTCTGATAAGAAGTGTGCGCTGCAAAGGCGAGCATTTTTGACGATCGCTTCTGTCCAGTCCGCTTGTTTTATCACGTTTAACCACAGCCGTCGTCGGTTTTTTTGTGTGGCAGTGGCAGCAGATATGTGATCAAAATTGTAATTTGAGGCTGTATTACGTCGATTCTAGCACCCAACATCACAACGAGGTGATATTTGAAGCTCCTTATGTAGCCGAATCTGCGCTGGTTTGAATGGGCCGCTTCCAGTTTCCCCTTTGTTTTGCTGCCTCCAGCTAGCGCCGTGACGTCGGCTGACCCTAGTTACCTGTGGTTGGCCTGGCGGTGCGTCACTCAGAACACAACGGGCCAATCAGAAGAGAGGCTCATGAATATTAATTAGACGGGCCAAAATCGACCTGTTCTCAGCAGAGCTCCTGAGAGGAGCTGTAAAAATATATTGAGATGGTTGTTGGTGCACCGCAAATATATATCCTTAAGGACATGAAAAGCTCAAATAAAACTCCAGAAAGGTGTACAATATGTGACCTTTAAAGTTAATGATTAAATTAATAAATTGATTGACATGATTTGAGTAGAAATAATTTTCCTAGTTTAAAAGCGTTTACAAAATCAGCCTTAAAAGAGCATGCTGACAGCTGCAAGACTTGTAGCTGGATGTTCCGCAGCTGAAGGTTGTATTTATGTACATTTTTCTGCACCAGACAAACTGCTGATACTTGGGTCCAAAAAGTTCCAGTTGGGTTTCATTGCTCCTTAAAGCCGAGAACACACTTCACGACTGTCAGGCCGATTATGAATGGCGTTTGGTCTTGAGGACGGATCGTGCCCAGTCGGACACGGGTCTGTTCCAGTTGGGCTCAGTCGCTGTTTGCAGTGGGCAGAAAAATGTGCATAGTGTGTGGTGTGTAAAGAGTATAATCATAGAATTGAAGAACCAGTCATTGCCAGTCGTTTTCACAAAGATTTGTTTAAACGTGTTTAATATTTGCAACTGACACCAAATGTATGCGGCTATGCAGTGGAGATGCTCACTGTTAAACATCATTCAGCATTGGTTTTGTAAAAAAAAAAAAAAAGTGTTTATTACAAGAAAAATCTCGATTGTTCTTGATGTGATTGATTTGTCGTCTGTCTTTTAATTCATAAGTGAACACTTCAAATGTAAGTCGTTTAGTCGAAGAAAGTTGAGCCTAAATTATGTCAGTGATTCTGTCATGTGAAAGATTATCAATAATTGTTTTAATTTCCATCTGCAGTCTAATAAAAGTGAAGAAAAAAATAGCTTAGAGCCCTATCTATAGACTACAAGCTAATTCCATTTTTTCTTAACTTGTTACTTCTTAGAATTTAAGAAGAATATGAAATCAACTTTAGGCTATGCTAACAAATTGTCTTCATAATGAATATACGGTAACGCTTTATAATAACTTTCATGAATAAATGGTTAACAAACATTATATAATACTTAACAGATCCTTAGTTAACGTTAACAAATGTCATTGAACTTTCAATGCATTTTAAAAATGAAAAAATGATTTGAACAGAAATTGTACAATATTTACAAGCTTATTTGTGAATGTACTTTTGAACGTTTACAAATGTCATTAAAGTTCAGTTCACACACATGCACTGGCTAATGCTCATTTGTACATTTACAAATGTTGTGAAAATAGAAGTTAATTAGTAATATTATAGCTTAATTTAGCACTTAAAGTATTCATGTTAATATATTCATTAAGTCATAATCACAGTCTGTAAAGCTCATGTATTTGGCCTTTGGTTGTTGTGTAGACTTGTACTATTTGCACATCTTAAATGATTGATTAATAATTTGTTAATGTTTTTGCGGTACCCAATCTAAAGTGGAAAGTATTGTCGTCTGTCTTTTAATTCATAAGTGAGCACTTCAAATGTAAGTCGTTTAGTCGAAGAAAGTTGAGCCTAAATTATGTCAGTGATTCTGTCATTTGAAAGATTATCAATAATTATTTTAATTTCCATCTGCAGTCTAATAAAAGTGAAGAAAAAAATAGGTTAGAGCCCTATCTATAGACTACAAGCTAATTCCATTTTTTCTTAACTTGTTACTTCTTAGAATTGAAGAAGAATATTAAATCAACTTTAGGCTATGCTAACAAATTGTCTTCATAATGAATATACGGTAACGCTTTATAATAACTTTCATGAATAAATGGTTAACAAACATTATATAATACTTAACAGATCCTTAGTTAACGTTAACAAATGTCATTGAACTTTCAATGCATTTTAAAAATGAAAAAATGATTTGAACAGAAATTGTACAATATTTACAAGCTTATTTGTGAATGTACTTTTGAACGTTTACAAATGTCATTAAAGTTCAGTTCACACACATGCACTGGCTAATGCTCATTTGTACATTTACAAATGTTGTGAAAATAGAAGTTAATTAGTAATATATATTATAGCTTAATTAAGTACTTAAAGTATTCATGTTAATATATTCATTAAGTCATAATCACAGTCTGTAAAGCTCATGTATTTGGCCTTTGGTTGTTGTGTAGACTTGTACTATTTGCACATCTTAAATGATTGATTAATAATTTGTTAATGTTTTTGCGGTACCCAATCTAAAGTGGAAAGTATTCATCAATTGTAAATGTTTATAAACATTGAGTAATCATTAGTACCTTTATGAGCAGTCATTTTGATGGCAAAAAGTGTCCCAAATGAGCTGAAATCACCGTATTTTCACACGTTTACAAATCGTGTATTAATTTTGTTAATGTTTTTGCGGTACCCAATCTAACGTGGAGACTATTCATCATTTTTAAATGTTTATAAACATTTCCTAATTGTATGATCTTTATTGGCACTGGACTTGTAGCTACTTTAACAATGTTTGCGTAAAGGGTGGTTAGGTAAGTTTAGTTAAAGACATATGACACGTTGTAATTTGGGTGGCAAAATGTTTTTTTTTTTTTTTTATCAGCTCAACACGTATATTAGTTTACTATTGTGTATCATTAAACTGAATATTCCTTGAGTCATACATCAACAGGAGGGGGGTAAAAAAGAAAATTTCCAGAAAATACTTCATTTATCAAAACAATGTAATATAAACCGATCAAATGGTGTTCCGTTGTAGTAAACCAATTGACCCCTGCACACTGTTGATCCCTCACCCAACCCAGTTTGGCGTGTCCCTAACCTTACCCGTATCACACCTCAACAGCAGCAGAGGTGTTGTGCATGAACAAAAGCTTTTAATGATTGTATAACGTGTTAAAATCATTAGTATATTTTGAAGATGTGCATGATCATATCATATATGAATGAGAAGTTGAATGACGTTTGTAAGCATTTTAATTGACAAGAAATGTTAATTATTAGGTCATGTTTAATACGTTTATTAGTAAACATTAACAAGCACATTATTTCACGTTTGTAGATATGTGAATATATATGAAGTAATGATCCGTTAAGCATTACATAATGTTTGTTAATGATTTCTGAATGAAAGTTATTATAAAGTGTTATGGAATATACAAGCATAATGAATATCCTAGCTAATGAAATAAATTTTTATATATATATATATATATAGTGCCTTGCGAAAGTATTCATACCCCTTCATTT